GTTGCATCGAGAGCATATAGATGTCTCTGGAGAGACCTTCGCTGCCCCGAGAGATAGAAGTGTCTCCGCCATCTTAGGACTGGAGCAAAGAGAGCTAATTGGATTGGAGTCACACGAGGGAGTGGATGGCATGAGGCGAGGAGGCCCCTGGGCATGGTGCCCGGGACAAATTTCCTCTTTTGCCCCCACTCACTATGGGCCTGATATTAACTCCTTCGGGCGACTCCGATCCTAAGATGGCGGAGGTACCTCAATATACTCGCCGTCCCGCTCGGTAGGGGAGGCCTCTTCATTAAATACTCTCTATCCATCGCAGCCAAGATGAAACACAGATTATTGTGTACTTCAGGATGTACCCTTTGTGGTGGCAAGAGCTGTTGATTAGCTCATTCGTTTTGAAATGTTGATACTTTTGTCTCTCCCTATGGATAGGATTCCCTAGTTGGTTTTTTTTCGGTTCTAGGGAGGTTATTGGGAAATATTTTTGTGGAAGCCTCCTACGGCCGAGCTAATTACTTTCGTTCCCTTTCTTGTTTTGTCCACGAAGGCATCTAAGATTAAAACTAGTCATGCGAAAGACAAAGACCTCTGCACCACCACCAAATGCATTTCTCGTACTTACCGCTCTACAAGCAAAGAAGTCATTCCGCAAACCAAGTCTCACTGGAAATTTACAAAATTTGAATTTACTCTCTCATGTTCTGCAACCATCGAGTCGGAAAAACCAACCAGACTCCACGTTTTTCGCCTCCCACAGCTTGTTCTCGCGAAAGGCCTATATGTAAATAAGGCTTAAATAGACCTATCGTTATTGTGACGGATGTGGAGAATTTACTCATTAAACTACATGTCCCCTTTTTTTTATTTATAACCTTCTCATCCCAAGGCTCCGAATCCCTCTTGGCTCTCTTCTCGTCTCCCCTCTGCCCCTTCGATGGAGAAGCTTATTTTTGTGTCGCTGGCAATTTGTCTGATTTTAATCTCGAGACCTTAATCTAACTCGTTAATGTAAACGTTAATGTAATGTTAATATAAATATTAATATTAATGTATAAGCGCGGTCGTTCGACCTTGCCCTGGGGGACTCCCCTCGCGACCTATACTAACCCCGGCACTTCATAATTTATCACCACTCTCTGTTCTCTTCCCGGCAACCAATTACGCATTCAGTTACTCACCCCGAGTCCCGTGCGCCTTCGATTCGGCCCGTAACGACTTGCGAGTGACGGCATCGAAAGCCTCAGCGAAGTCTAGGAAGTCGATGTCAACAGGAACCCTTTCGTCCGTCTCATCCGTTGCTCGATCGTAAAATTCGAGAAAATCGGTGGAAGAATTTCGTCTCCTTTGAAAGCCGGGCCGAGATCCTCGGGTGAGCGAGTTTTCCCCGAGGAATTCCGAGATGCGATCCCTTGTGCTTTCCGTCGTCTTTTTCGGAACGCCAGTGAGACTCGACGGCCTGCGATTTCCCGAATCGCTTCCGTCCCTCTTCTTAAAGATCGGTACGGCTAATTCCAATCTCGAGGCATCTCCCCGGGCAAGATGCTAATGTCGAAAACGATTCTTAACGACTTCCCTCCCGATTTGCTCGATGAAGCTCGTCCAGAATCCCATCGAGGCCCGTTGCCTTTCGTGCAGTCGGCTTCTTCATCCCACTCGTGATCTCTTCCTCTCGGATGGACGATATCCTCGATGCACTCTCGGTTGATTTTCGTCGTCGTCGGTGTGTCATCGGATTCCTTGGCGAACGCAGAAGCAGAGGAGGTACCGTATGGAATCCCGACCGTGCTCCGTCGTTTCCGACTAAATCCCTCTCGTCCTTCGGGAACCCGATCGAATGTTCACTCCTGTCGCAGGCACATCGACGAAAAGCCTAGGATTAATTTTAGTCTCGATGACCGACGGTCCCTCTCCTCTCCTTGGATAGCCGCATGGAATACCTCCCCTGCTCCTCTACCGTTCGCCCTCGTAACCTTCCTTCTCGATGGAAACTGGAAACGCATTCCCGTTACCCACTAAAATCTGCTTTCCTTCATCGGTCTGTCGTTGCGTTTCGACCGTTTTATATACCTCGTGATCGTGCGATGATCCGAGTCCCTCGATTAACCTTGGACTTCTCACCCTTTAACTCACCCTTGGGCTTTAGTCCCAGATCGCCATCCGTTGCGAAAGTTAAATACGATGAAACGGAATCTCTGGTCTTCGACTCGCTGTAAGAGGGGAGAATCCAGGTTGGCACGAGGAGCACCTGATCGTGTAAAGCTAGATATGGAAAGGTCATTCAGGAAAAGTTGCTCAGGTTCCGATTTTTTTTACTCTTCAACGCCGAGTGCCGTATGGCGTACGTCATGGCGAGGAAATGACAGCAGCCCGCGGAGTGACGTGCAGGGTTTGTTTTGTGCTTTTATCTGGCGAGGATTTTTGCAACTATTTGAAATAGGTCAGTTTGGCTTTGTAGAGAAGGCTTAAGCATTCGAAGTATGAATACATTGATCTATTTTTATTTTTTTTTAGCCTTATTTGTAAAAGCCCATTTTTTGTATGTTTTCAGCAAATCTCCCTTAGCATGGTATTGACGTACGCTGTACGGCACTACGCGTTCAAGGGTTAAAGGTCATATCTTCCATTAACCGTATGTAGTAATTCTAGGTATCACTGACTTTTACTATCGTTAAAGTTCATCATCGTAGAATCATCTCTTCTGAGATGATTCTACCCACCCTGAGCACAGGTCGATAGCACTGACGAACGTAACACTGTTAATCTTTTCATTAAAAGCTATTTTTAAAAAAGGTAATAGCGTTGAAAGGGCTTTTGCATCGTATATGATTAGAATGGGTTCCAAGCCTCCATTCCCTATGGTCCGCTTCCCCTTCTTCGCCCTCTTCCTTTTACCCATAAAAATTCAAGGTGTTGACGTTATATGATCACATTTTTCGCTCGAGTTTACGGCTCTAAATGGGAGTCTCCCTTGCTACTGTGGAGACCAAGTCTCGCACCCAAGATCATCTACAAACTCCCATCAGCGTAGTAAGAATAGGTGCTTTTTTTCTCGGCAAGACGAGATTTATGGTAGTCGATGGCTGGAGGAACAGCCACCAACTTAGATTTTAAAATATTAATATTAATAATGAGGGGAAGGAAGGGTTCGAAGATACTGGATACAGACTTAAGACCCGGTTTTCATTAAAGAAACTGATAGCAATGAAGTTGGAACAATAATGAGTTGAGTGATCTCGATTAAATTCGGTACGGAACTCATCATAACGGTGTGCGTTGAAATCGATTAGACTCAGGAGATGCAAAGCGAGATTACGGGCAGATTAATAATGGGCAAAGAGCTCTAATATGAAGGGTGGGGTGGCGGTGGGTGGGGGGTTCCCACTAATCGCTCCAAGTAAGGGCGCAAAATGAATTTATTAACAGAAGAGCCACGCCGAGATTGCATCTCTGAAACTCTTGGGACGATTGGATTGAAACTCTAGGCTAACTTGTTTAAGCCTTTCATCGATGTCGGTTAATTGGGTTGCATGCATGAGCATGCCAACAGCGGTTCTCGACTCGTGGGCCACGAGAAGCAGGCAAGGGTGCCGTGGGTGTCCAGACCATTTTCTTTTTGGCCTGTCAACAAAGTGGTTCAAGAAGGCCTGAAGTCTACGACGCAACTTAACTGGTGCATTCGAGAAACACCATATGGAGCGAGCAGGGAACATCAGATGAAGAACTGCATCTAAAGACGTTTCTGACTTCAGCCTACTCTCTTAATAAAAGTGTATATAATACCGGGAGTTGCAATTTATGAGTCAATATGAGTCAATTTTGACCAAAATTGACTCATATTACATACTTCCGGTATTATATACGTTTTTATTAAAAGAGTATCTATCATGGAGGAATGTCGAGATCAATATTGTTGCTACAACAGAGATTTCTTTTTGTTACCAGATATGTATGTCTACCATCTCTCATTCTGGGAATAAAAATAAAAACATGTTTTTGTCCCGTCTAAGCGTCACAAGTGAACTGCGCGGGCTCACTTCAAGTTTGGAGTCGTATCTTGATTTTCTGAGCAGCCAAATGCAGGCGTATGTATTGGATCGGAGTGAACAAAAAATTGAAGAGTTTGAATGCTTTTGTTTAAATGATGGTCCTGCTAAATGACAGTTAAAAATAAAAATAAATTCAGAGGTTCTAGTTCGGCTTATATCATCGTGCATGGAGGTTTGTGGGTGTGCAGGGGTGCCGCCGACCTCTCGCTCTCTCGAAATGGTGCCCTTGCGGAGGAATGGTTGAGAACTGTCGCATTGGGGGAATGTGTGCCATGCCTCTTCATTCAGGGTCAGGCACGACCCAAATAAATCTGATAAAAGCATTAGGACGATCGATAGAGGATCCTCAGCCTCCTTCACCAGAGAACCTTTGACCTGTTTTCTCCGTAGAGAATCGCATCCTTGAAACTCTAATAATTTTTTACGACCCGCTGTCTTGAGGTCGTGGACTGCATTCAATCGAAATGGTCCAACTTCTTTGCATTCCAATACCGATTGCGGCCAGTGTATTTAATCGAATCCTTGTGTTTCCTTAATCGTTTTGATCAGTGCAGTGTAACATACCGACATGGAACCAGGTTGGGCGAAGTCGGAAGGGGTCCGTTCCTCCGGTGCATTTAACGCCTCACGACACATCGGTTCGAATCGATGAGAAATTGGAGGAAGTCTCCACTCGGATGTGAAAGTGATTCACGCGGGAATCCAAGCAAGCACGATCGTTTCGCGAAAGCTTCAACTATGTAAAATATCCTTTTCGTTCTATTCCGTCCCTCTTTTTTTTCTCTCCTCATATGGAGAGGAAATATCAGTTTTGAACGAGTCACGTGAAGGTCTACAGCATGGGAATCATTTGCGGATGAATAGGAGTATCAAAGTACATCAATTTTTGCGAATTCAATTATTTTTTATGCTCGATGATGGCTGCTTCGGCAACCTCGACCTAAACGGGATGAAATGCCTGGTGTGCTGTCCATAATTTTTCATCTGAATGGATTTTAATTTTTTTTTCCCTATGTAATCTGTTTTTATATTAATGACCATGGAAGGCAAGAGATAAAGGTGCAGACGTGGAAAGCTATTGTCAGAGTATCCGCTTCGGCCAGATGTTTTCCTTTGAGGAAAATTTAATCATAGAGATGCCGAAATACAGGGTCACAAGGACGAGAGAAGGACGGAGGGCAGAGACCAATTATGTAAATGCTCGCTATTCATAATGAATTAGGAAGGAAAGAGAGAAGGATTTGACAGGCCCTCACCCTTTCCCTTGGCCTTGCAACGTTAAAATTCAACGTCGCTCACGATTCGCTTTCAGCATGAAAGAGGACGAGGATCTTGCCATGGTGAAAACCTTTTACGTGCTTTTCCGCACTATTGCGTTGGAAACTGATAACCGAATTCCATTTTCTCTTGCAAAGACGGGGGAAAAATGTATTACTATGTTTCCACTTTTTCCTCTTCGAAAGAGACAGATAGGCAGAATCTTCGTAGATCCCTAGCTCCAGAGGTGGGACGATGAATGGGATGAGGAAAGATAATGTCTCCCGAAGGGAACTCTCCGTGAATCCCCTCATTCAATGCCAGGACCTCATTAATACATTCATTAACCCTGCCCTCTCTAATCATTTCCCATCGCGGGGCTTCTCTGTGAGGATAACGATTTCTAATTCATTCCCAGGTGGGATCTTTGGTCGCATTGGCGTGTGCCCTCAAGATCAAAGATGGTCTGGACGATGCCTTGGAATTCTTCCATGAATATTTCTGGCTGACGAGGAGTTTCGCTCCACCTCCCACGAATCCATCAGAGATCGACATCAGAGGACTTCCAAAGGACACGTACCTATCCATGAAAACAGCCCTCGTTGAATCGTTGGGGATTGCAAAATTTGCTCTCATCGTCGGGGGTTGTGCTGCGTTTCTTGGCGCGTGGGGACTCCTTACCGTGTGCGTGGAATCCAAACGCCTCTTCCACTTCGTAAGTTCCCGTGAATAAGCGACATCTGTTGTTGGTTAACCAAACGATAGTGTTTTCATGGAACGGTAGATGACAGGAAGTACTATTCCAGAGTCGATAAGTTGGATCATGCAATATACGTCCTGGTTCATTATTAATGAACTCACGGCCGTCATTCCCCGAAAATTGCACCTATTATATGAACATTACTGAGTGCAGTCTTCTGAAACTTTTGCTGAAATTCCTTTAGCGCATTTAGGGCTCCGTAGAACTTTTTGCGGTCGGAGAGCTCTTGATACCAAACCAAATAATAAGCCAATGGTGCGGCTCGTGATGGAAGTTTCATTTCTCACCCCATAGTACACCATCGGAGCTTCAGTCCTCATCCTCTTACAAATGACAACATCTGGCTGTGTTTTGTACGACTCCATCGGTCTACAGAGGCAGTCCAACGAGGTGCTGGAAGAGTTGGAGTCTACGAATCAATGCGACGGTGCCATGTATCGGAGCTGCGCCCCACATCGGAACTTTTGCAAAGCTGTCATCTCAAAAATAGTCGATTTACAGGCGATTCTTGGAGGATTCCTCCTTGCTTGGGTCTTTCTTGAAGTGAGTTCGGTCCGAAAGGACGTTCCGTTCTGATGTTCCCCTAGTATTATTATTATGGAATTTCGAGGTCGTGACCAACTTTCTATCATTTCAGTACGCACTGTTGATTATGGCCGTGAGACGCGAAAGAAATCTCGGAATCTTGTGGAAAGACGAGATGAAGGGACGGCGTTTCTATCCTTATAAAGATCACCCAAACGTGAATCTAGCAGGAAACGGGCAACGACACGCAAATCTCTCTGACGATGAAAAGTCAGAAGACAGTAGTGACTGGTACCTCCCTCATCCTGCGTCTGCACGCAGGAACAGGACCGTTCAGCCGATCCAAGAAATCTTAGCCGGTGAAACTTGCGAAATTGCGGATGAAGCCGAAGGGAAAGTTCAGGTTTCCGTCGAAGAAGAAAAAGCCCTTCTCGGAAGAGAAGAGAGGTCTGCAAGAGGGTCTTCAGATCTTTCTGACTGCCTTTCAATTTTTCACACTCCTCTGGCCTCCAGCTGTGATTCCATTTCAAATTCTTCCTTCAAAACGCCTTTCGATGTCATTATATAGTTATCTCCCTGTGATGCGATGGAACCCTTGGAAATGAACGTTTAATGCATAAACGTTTTGTTGAACGCATGTTGTTGTTTTATGCTCTGCTTCTGATGAAGTCTATTGAGCAATGAAATTTTCCGACCTGTCTGTTTAGAGGCCGTGAAACTGCTTTAAATACAAGAGCGTTTCGAATAATGCCAGTTGTTTGACTTCTCTAAGGTCACCAGATATTGATGAAGTAATGGGGTGATCAGTCACACTTCATTACGATCAGGCAAATGTCCTTCGCTTTTTGTATTCCCTCCCTTCTCGCATCACTATCTCATAAACTGAAGCAGCTTCACAATTTCGGCTAAAACTCTCATGGTGCTCAAGATCATTTTGAAATATTCCACTCGACGTATCCTTTGATTCCATTCTTGGACATACTTAGTATTCGAGTAAAACGAACATCCGAAGGTTTGAATTTTTTCTGTTTCACTCTGTATACATAAATTCTGCAAAAATTTTCCTCACAATATTCCGAGAAAAAATGTGTGAAGCTCTTACTGCTTGAGTCATGTACCTACGTTCCACTGAAACGGATGCAATCTCTCCCAATTGTTTCCTTTCGTGGCAATGAAAGGCAATATACCAAAAGGAATAATCTGTTTCCTACAAAAAAATTTATTCCGTCATTCTCACTGTCATGCAAACTGATGAGAAATGGAAAATGCAGCGAAGGGGTCAAATCACATACTCTTCGGGAAACTTTAAAGAACAGGCTGAGCACGAAGAGGTAAGGTACAAGGGTAAGGAAGGTAAAGATAAAAGCAGCTGAGAAACAATGTGGATTCTGTTCCTCGCATCATAAAAAATGTCAACGAAAGACTTTGGTACCTCAGGATTCTCATGGAATCGACGAATGTCTAACAAAAGCAGAAAAACAGAGGCAATACTGTACACACAAAAAAAGAATCTATTGGATGAGAAGGTGGTAACAATTGAGAGCAATACGGCTGCTAAGGTTCATTCCAGAAAAGACTGTTTCCAACGCGCCTGCTGACCGTTTCTCCCAATGGCACACGGTGAGACTTTCCTTTTCCTCGTGGTCTCTTCTCTTACTTATCACACATCAGCACCACCGTCAGAGGAGAAGGCATTCGGTCGTCTTTCGCTGAACTGCAACCGTTTCCTTTTAGGGTGAGAACCACTGTTGAGTGCATGAAGAAGAGGACATGTTCAACCGAAGAAGCCAGGATAGGGTAGGATGGGTAAGGCTCCTCCAGCGGGGATGGTGGAAGTGGTGTACGTGGTGAGAACTGTGTCGTACACACTCGTCATCGTCACCGTGGTCAGGATCGGCTGGGCTTGCAGCGTCACTTTGTAGACTTTGGTGCTCGTTTCTGTAACTCGCGTGCTCACCGTCACGAGCGAGCTCACAGTGGCCAAGGGTGCTTGGAATGGGTTCAGAGGTGCATTTGGCACCTCTGCTGTCACCAATTCATAATCCGTCTTCGTCCTCGTTCCTATCGGACGAGTCAGAGTGCTCTGGAACGACTTTTTCCCATCCCAAACCGGCAGGATATCCGTCTTGTACACCGTCTCGACCTTGAAGATTGGCTTCGACGTGGTGATAACCTGTGTACCAGGGATCCCCAGGCCAGGAATGTTCAGATACGGATTCACGAGACGCAACAGCGCCAGCTGTTGTAATTGAGCCGGATCCAATGGAGGCGTTGGCTGGGAATTCGCTCCGACCAAGTCCTCTTCGGCAATTAAAGTCTTGGGTTGCGTTTGACTGACTGTTGGAGTAGGATGGATTCTCGGCTTTTTGCCGTACAACTCTGGGTGAAGCTTTCTATCCATTTCCAATGGATCGAACTTTGCTCCAGCTTCAGAAATCTCTTTATCGAAGAAATCCGGAGGGAGGGCGATTTCTTGATTTGGAGGAAGATCTTCGTTTGCCAGCAGGAGTCGAGCCTTATGTTCACTACCTGACAACTGCAGTCGGCTGTTAAATTCTATCAACTGATCGGCTGGGATGAATTGATAGAAATCCATTGGGGGCATGGTCTTGAGAGCCGTCACGATTCGGGTGATATAGTATGATTGGGTAAGCGTATAGAAGGAAGTGTCATGGTCGTTGATGACTGGGAGAACGTTTGTCCTCAGCACGAGCTCTTCCGTGGAGAATGTTTCAGTCTTGGTTTCCAACGGGGGTATGGATGCATCACCAGCCAAGCCAATGGGTGGAAGAATGGCTATGTCTTGCTCCTCGATCAAGTTTTCTTGAATCGCATGCTCCGCTGCGATGATGTCAAGCCCTGCATCTGACGGTTCGATCGTCGGCTCTTTTACCGTCGCCAAGTCCACTGCGCTCGTCATTGTCAAGGTAATTTGTCTCGTATTCATCCTCGTCCCCACTCTGAACACGTACGTGGATCTGACGGTCGCCAATTCGTAAACCGTGCCATTGAATGGCTTCGGAGTACTCGTCGATACTCGAATGGTATGCACTCCTGGTTCAGATGGCTCCAACTGCGGATCAGAATAATCGTAGTCACCTATTGGGGGGTCTGTCGTATCCTCGCCAGTAGAAGATAGATCTTCAGCCAATCCATCTCGCGCAGCTTCATACTCCTCTGTCACCGGTGGATCAGGCAAGATGTCCACGCGTGGTTTCGATGTCGTCCTCCATCTCCATCGTCCCGTCGGTCGATTCAATGAGAATTTGTAGATGGAGGAAGAAGTCGTTGGTTTAATAGTCTGCGTAAAGCGATTTTTGTAGCCTCCTTTCCTGTATGGAGAGGCAGGGGTTGTTCGAATGACCTCTTCCTCTTCTCGATTGAGGTTCAACTTGGGAGGGTGAAACCTCCCCGGTCGCTTGTTCGATCCCAGACGATTGTGAAATCTGCCGTCTGACTTGGATGTCGTTTCATCTGCATATTGTGTCACGACAGCAGCCGAGCTGCTGACGGCTGGCCCTCGCTTGTGACTCGATCGACGATCGGATGTCACGAAGGGATTCGGACGATCTCTCATCGAATTTCTGTTTTGACGAAGACGAGCCAAGAAATCATTCGTAGCCGATTCCTTGTAAGACGGACGGCCAGGGCTGCTAGATATTGGGTCTTCAACAGTAGGAGTAGGCTCGACTCTGGGATTTTCCCTTGAAAATCCCTCCCTAGTAGCATAGACCCTACTGTTACGATAGAAAGGTGTAGTATGATCCTTGCGAGGCGTCAAGTACTCCACCTGATAATCATCATAGGAGACTTCCAACGGTCGTTCCGTGGATCTGTAATTGTAAAAAGCCGAGGTTGCAGGGGCGATGACTTTTGTCGAGGTTCCCGTGATAACGGATTTCACGGTTTCCAATTCTTCTATGACGGCTGTTACGGCTCCTCGCCCTGGGGACGGAGAGCGGAAATAATCATCATTATCGAAGAGAATGTGAGACGTTGACTCCAAAACCTGAGCATATTTCCCGTCGATCCGAGTCCCGATTACTTTAGTTTCGTGAACGGTAGTCAGCCCATTCATGACTGTCGTTCCTCCTAAAGTAGTGACTAATCCCAGGGGTCCCTCTTCTTCCTGAGGGGCTTTTGTTTTCTCCGTCGTGATGGCATTCGGTCTAGGTTGCGTTTTAGGTCCCTTCTTTGGGCTGTCATTATGGGGAGGACTGACTTCCACCCTCACATCCACCTTGGAGCTGACGTCTACCTTGGGTTCACTTGGAGATGTCTGGAGATCTTCCAGATGGTTTCCAACCTGCGTCACTACATTCACGAACGACTTCACCGAGTTCGGCGGCTTCTTCTCGTTCAAACCCGCGAACAGGGCCTCTAACCCGAAAGTACTCTCGACAGCGAAAATTCTGTCCAAGTTTGGTGGAGTAGGTAATTCTTCGTCGAAGCTCGACGATAGCTGAAACTCTTGCTCTGGTTCTGTCGGACTTGGTGCCAACTTCTCTGTTGTACTTGGGACTCCATTCACTGTAAGGGAACCACTAATCATTTGCATCTGAGCAGGATTACACTTTTTTTTTGTAAGCTTCCCATCACAATATGCCAGGCTGTGACAGCACACATCTTTTACGTTCTTAGAGAGAGATTTATTAAGATTTTTGTTACCTTGTGGAAGCTACTCTCGGTTTTTATCTTCATTCACTACCCAGTTTAAACAAAATGTCTCCCAATTTTCTAATCCCTGGAGAGAAGCACCTTTGTGAACATTTAAAAATATTAGCGTCCCATCCAGGAAATTTAAGTACCAGTCAAAATGACAAAACTCAGTAAGGATAATCTTTGAGTCAAGTTTCTGGCAAGAAGAATCACAATTCACAGTATATTTCTCATCCACAAAACGTTCATTATGAGTCGATACTCTCATGTAAAATTAGGTCGTATTTCGTTTCTACTTCAGACAGACATATGTGCAAAGTTTAAAGATGGAAATATGAAATTTTGGTTCTTTCCGCTCGTAACAAGAAACCACAGAAACGGCATCGGAAAAGCCGCAGCTATCAAAACTTCCCCGTTCTCTGTGGCTTTGAATGACGTGAGCCAACCTGACACAGATTCGGAATTCCAACATACGAGTACATATATTCGACAAAGGATTTTGCTTTTAGAATACGCGAGCGGGCGAGTTCTTTCCCTTTTTTGAGGCCGGAGACTGAAGACTGAATCCTTGCTGAAAAATTTTGGCGCCTCATCGATCGATGACGTCTTTTCTTCCTCTGTGTCGAAAGCGGAAGTACGGCCTGACTATGTCGCCCTAAATGTTAGCCCAAGGCTGGAAAAGCGTAAAAGGAGTAGAAAAGTACGGGTACAAGAAAGCGCGTCATTAGGACGGAACCGGTGACTGTATCGTGCCTGGAGGGAAGAAGGTTGAAACAAAAGTGCGATGATTACCTGGAGGTGGTCCCGGCTTAAACACCATGACGGTGTTGCCCATGGTGGTGGTGAAATCGGAAAACCCGTACACCGTCTTTGTGGTATATTCCATCTGAATGGGAAACACCTCTTGCGTAGGTGTACGGAATAGGTTCTTGGGGTTTAAGTACACTGGACTCGGGCTTACCGTCTGAGAAGCCCATGTCCTCACCGTCATCACTGAAAAACAATACATTTGATGTTAGAAAATTAGCATTCAATCTTCTCGCCGAAACTGGAGAAGACATTCCAATAGCATTGAGTGCCTGGACGAAAAATGAGGTTACATACATAAGGCGAATCGAGCCTTGGACTTGATCCATTTATTATTATCCTTTTAAAATGCAAACAAACGTCTTCTTGCAACCTTCAATATTTTCATCACTCTTTAATAGTGCATTAGAAGTCCGACATTGAAAGCCCTACTTGATCGAAGTGAGGCTCGACAGAAAAGCAAAAGCTTTTTTGACCCAAACATGATAATGATCTTCGGAATGATGAAAACCCAGCCCAAACCGCTTGAAGACCTCGAGTAGAATTTCGACTGCAATGAAGCCAAGACCTCATAATTTACAGTAATAACCTTCCCACGAAACTTTAAAGTTTCGAATCGAGTTTCACTTAGTGAAGTTTATAAAAACAGGTGCGAACGAAGACCGTCACGATGATGTTTTTGCCACGAGCGTGTTTATGTATACACCGAGTCGATTTCACTTTCTGATGGATGGGGCACGGTATTCCTTCTACAATTAGCGGTATGATGTCAGTGAGGTCAAGCGTATCGGACTTTTCGAAAAGTAAAAGGATTCCCTCCTCTCACTCTCATCAATTTCGACATTGTGTCCCCAGTTGTCCGGCTCTTTCTGCAACGACAACTACGACACGATTCATCATGCAGGACTTTCTCTGCGTTTCGCAGTCTTTATGTTTCATCATGGCCAAGTCGTACAATTTCCTCGAACCTGAAGTTAGGAGTGTTTGGACTGCTCACTCCTAAGCATATTTTTGGGAGGTTCCCCGGATCCGGAAGACTTTTGTCTTCCGTCGTGGATCCAGAATTTTCCCGATGGCGACAAGCCTTCGTGAAAGCTCATCATCCCCCGAGGAATAAGCGTGCGGGAAAACGCGAAGAGGTCACGTTTTTCTTTTGTCTTTGTTCCGTCATAAAGCGCGGAAGTCCGTAGGATAGAATCGACCATGTGAGAAATTGCACCAGGAAGTACTACATGCCTTATAGGTTTTAGCACATTATGGCATTTTCGGCACATTATGGCACTTTCGGCACATTATCTGCGGCTCTCAATAATGACCCAGCACCGAGTTTGCTTCGCAATAACCCAAGAGAGGTTGTCTTTCTTCAAGAAAGGCGTTACTGCAGAGGTGATCATAGGTGTGTCGGGTTTTTGCTGAAACTTGAAAGGTTCCAAGGTTCCTTTTGTTCCTTATGGTAGGTGAAAAAGAATGCTAGGTCGAGACGCAATGAAAGTTAACGGATTGCTTTTGTCTCGACTTGAAGTTGAAGCTTCGAGAAGAGAGCACAGGATCAAAAGTATGATGATTAAAACTCAAGTTTTTATCAACACTGAAAAGGAGTCCCTCTAAAAAAAAAAAAAAAAAAAGCACAAAACGGGATCTCGCCCAGNAATATTTGATCTTTGAACTTAAAACCCCAAAAAAAAAAAAAAAAAAAAAAGGCACGATACGGGATCTCGCCGAGTATCGCCGAGGCCGGTGGTGCTGGTGAGTAGGCTTAAGTAAAAGGCTTTCTCACGCATGGAGTACGTACGTGTGTTGTAAATGGGGTTAAGAGACCATGAAACCATGGAATGCGCTTGACATCAAAGTCCAGCTTTCCGTGTCGTGGATGAAAAATCATCTCTTCGTTTTACGTCATACCATACAAGGCATTATCGAAAAGAAACGGGACCGAGTCTGTAACTCCCTTTTGCTATGACGTGCAAAATGCCAACACTTGGGAACTCGAATCGGGTCTTTGCAAAGTTAACATTTGTTGGCTCTCTCGAATTTCTTTCGGAAAATTTTAAAATGAACTCTTTGACTACTTTTGCGAAAATGAGCGAGGCATTTAATAGAACCAAAATTCAGAGCACCGCGAAGTTTTGGGTGAAATTGGGGAAGTTCCTGAAAGAAACTTACTGTATGTTGTGTTTCCTGCTACTTATGGAGCTGATGGCCCAGACTGCTCTATAATATTCGACATGCACAAAAGACTTTTGCGCCTGTCCTTCAGTTCACACAGGGTAAATTCATCAATATCAGCTGAGGAGCAAAAGTGCAGAAAATCCTTCGGAAGGACAGGAGTGACAAATTGCGAACATTTGAATATGCCTCTGGATATTTGTTTGAATGGTACCCTGGCAATTTTCATCAAGTTCCTCCAGCTCCTCAGCTGATGTTGATGATCGATCTGTGGGTCACCCTTGATGAAAGTCTTGTTTTCTGAGAACCGTTTGCGGGATCGAATGCCTTAGAGGTTACCGAGACGGCACATTTCCTCACTTCCGCACAAAATATGATGGCACTTTGAATTGTTGAATTAGTTTTTTAAAAAAATTATTCGCTCATTTTCGCCAGTAAGTCGAAGAAAAAAACCTTATTTTCATTCGAAAGCGGACTAACAAGAAGAAACTTTGTTCCTGCATCTTCAAGACTTAAAACAAGGTCCTCACGAGAATTGACACCAGTATATCAAAGCACAAAGGCTTTGATATACAGTCCCGTTTCTTTTACGATCACGCCTTTTATGCACGAGACATCGCGTGATCACCGTTCCTCCCCCTCCCCTCCCCCCCTCTATTTGCTTCACTGTCAGAGAATACAATCTCGATCGGTCATTCACTTCCCTTCAATGAGGGAAGGAAAAGAGTTCGGCACGACGCAGGACTCCATCCCTGCCATTAGCATCATCTCCCTTTCACAGACTACGACAATTAATATCGATCTTCCTTCCAACTGATTAGCGTCAATCATGAGAAAAAGTCTGACTTTCCCTGCCTCTGGTGCTTTGGCAGAATGATCATACCCTGCTCTAACCCGATCTTCTGGATCTTGGCCCTGGCTACTGGTCGACGAAACGATGCTACACTACGTATACTAAAGATAATTTATATGCACGACTTTCCTTCCGGCATCGTTCGCAACGATTCCGTTGAACACTGTTTGTATTTGAGACCTGAGGATTCGATAGGAAAATGCAGGCGTCACGTGCTTTGGGTTGGGGAGAGAGGGGAGGGGGGGATGGGGTGGAGAAATTGGAACAAGGTTTTCAAAAGCGGAAAATAGCCAGCCTTGATCAGGCGCTCCATCTTTTTGTGGGTTTTCACTCAAGCCGCAGGAGTCAAGTTGCCCGCCCGTATCCTGTGTTGTTTTTTAATTGGCCGCTCCTCTAATTGCGAGGTTTCGGCTTTTCCATGAGGTCAGAAATCTAGATGGCAGGAGTTGTAATGAATGGAGAAAAAGGGCTCGGCAGAGGAACCTTGACATAACGAGACCTGATAGCCCGAGTTTAATGAAGATTGCACTCACAATGCAAGATTGCCCAAGAACGGCCGGTCCCCTATTCATCACCCGGAGAATTGAACCCTCCATGATCTCGAGGAGATGTTCCCTTATTTATCAGAGAGAGAGGAGAGAGTGAGTGTGAAAGGGCGCATAAACTCGCTTTCCGCGTCCCACTGACCCCTAGAGGCCAGGAACGGGAAGTGACTTTGACCTCGGACAATTACCTACAATTGATGATCCTGGCAGTTCAAGGCATTCTGCTCCTTTCTTCCATTCCTACTCCTTCTCTTCCCCTTAATGGAACGTACCGTACCTGGCCTTGGTATGTAACACGCCCTAATATCTCATTCGGTTACCGACGGTCGTTTCGAGAAACCCGTTCGATGGAGCGACAAAATTATCGCCTTCCTGTGGTTGCGAAACGCAGACTTTTCGTCGTGAACATGTTTCTAAAGCAGTTTTTTATTTCGCGTGAAAGAGGTTACGTTCGATGAAGCAAGGTCGAGCCGCACTCCCAATACCATGACGAAGCCGAAAAAAAAAGCCGATTATCTGTGTATTGGCATGATTCCACGAGGCTCGTTACTCGGTTTTGATTCTCGAGACCTGTTTCACGGTCCGTTTCCGTTAACGGCGTCGTGTAACGCGTCCAGAAGAGGAAGAGGAAGAGGACGATCCTTCCAGAAGTCACAAAGATCAGGGATGAGGGTGGGACCTCGTATCAACTTTGAAATTGCCGTGAGAAGTCGTTCCGAAGGTCGCGAGGAGAATCTCAAAGGATGTCCCGTCCTTCGGAATAATGTAATTACAAGGGGGCATTCCGCAATTACCGTTACTTGCAAGAGTGAACCAAGGATTCTTCCGCGGCATATCCGATAGGATGCGAGATATAAAGAAAATCCGTCCCTAGTCGCGACGGCAGGGTCGTTCTCAGACCTTTAATGAGGCCCGAGGTCGAGGTGGGGAACCGCTCGGTAATCCATCCGAATTATACGAGACATCTTCGGCTCGAATGAGGCTGCAATTTGCAGCAGATAAAAGATGCGAAATTCCCCAGCGTAAATCGGTTGCATAATGTTTTGATCGATGCCCAGTGACCAGCGAGACCTTCAAATATCTTGACACTTTTTTTTTCATCGAGAGGGAGTTTGCTTTCGTGCAAACCGTCAACGGTGACGCCGACGGCGCGTCTTTGACCCAGTCGTGGAATTGCCGATTTCAAGTGGCTCCGAAAGAAGAAGGAAAAAAAGAAACCGGGATCCGAGGACACCGGTTGGCATTGGCCTGGGATTCCCGAAAAGAAAGGGAGTCGAGGTGCGAAATGCGAGGTGGCAGTTGAAAAGGCTTAGTCTGATTCGTGAGATAATAGAAAAGAGGGGGATCAGTATTGCAGCAATGCAGGTGACGGAATGGTGCAACGTAACGGGGTTCTGGTCCACTTCGTACCCGTGCATGTTCACCAAGGTGGGATGACGGGGTAGAATTCTCTTTGAGACTGCGGGAATCTGATCTGGAGCTGCGTCGACGAGGCCTTGGCCTGTATTGCCCCTTAAATGCTCCACCCCACCCCGTCGACGAATGGAAGGTATCGAAAAGTCCTTTTTTCCGCCTCCGCGCCTTCATCTCTTAAATTCCTCCACTCGACCACGCCCTTCCCCAACCGGATATGCATTCATTCATAAATTCATCGCTTGGGTATAATTCATTAGCAGGCGCGAGAGGGGAGGGGAGATACCGGCAACGCTTTTGAACTCGCTGTCGAGCTCCTGCTGTTTTTGTGGTATGAATGTCCTCGATTACGATTTTTTTCACGGTCACGCTCCTCTCGTTACCGATCCTTGGCCAGGATATTACCGGTGCCACCGAGGGGAAAAACCAGAGAAAGGTCCAGGGAATCATTCGGTTCCTTCACCCATAAATGAACCGGGAAGCTTTCACATTTTGATTCATCTTCGATACCATTAAGATCTTGCGGTGCTTTTTGCGCAAGCCCAGCCGTGAGATGCTCATAAAATTCTTTTATGAAGTGTAATTTCCGGGGATACCTCTGGCTTCCGGATCGGTCGAATGTAAGAGTTCATCATCATTTCTAAAATGGACCATACTTCAGCGCGAGGCACGGTCATTATGCTTTTCCCATCAAATGCGTGATGCAGATGTGCATGGAGCATGAAGTGGCGAGACGGAAGCGGCAAAAGGGGGGCTTCGAGTTTGTCGAGCCCGGGGGAAAGATAACGCGAACGACATCTGGCGTGATTAGTCACTACGCGTAATCACAGTCCCGGGGCAGATGTATGGAGAGGAACACTTCCGAGAAGAGATGTCGAAGACCGAAAGGCGAGGAATCAGCGAGCGGAACGATATCGACCGGGAACGTTTCCCTCCTTCCGAGTTCACACTCGTGGAAGGAGCATTTCGTACGGTTACCCTCATACGAGACTCTAAAAGAAAAAAGGTGGCAGAGGTACGGAGAGGAATCCGTGAACGTCCTTTCGTGCACGAGCGATTTTGGTCTTTCTCGATCGAGGCAACTAATGATGGACCACCCTGGGACCATACCGACACAGACACGGAAGTCTGTTTCACCTCATAATCACCTCCCTGCCACTTTCCTCGCTAGTATGTACTGGACGGACTTGATCCCCCCAGAAGAACGAACGGGAACACGAACCGACCGGATCGTACCCTTCATTCTTCGATCTAACGAGCGCCCACTCCATGACAGATGCCGTCACATTAATGGCATGTGACTCGTACCCGACATGGTAGACGCGGGAGGAGCATTTCGTCCCAAACTGCTCCTTCCCAAATGAAAAAATGGAAGCGGTGACATTGAAGACCTGCCTTTTCCACGTTCTCTGAATGCCGCCCTGGAAGTCTCATTAATTCCCGTCTGGGGTCCGTTATCCTGGAAGGACATTTCGATTCCGAGTTTCCTTCCTATGCAATCTCTTTCATCTTTATTTTATCCCTAACGATACATTAGGAACGATTTCAAATTCTGCGCACGTATGCTGTTCTGGTGAAGTATCAGCTTTTTACGGTTTTCAGGTGTTACTGATGAATACGGGAAGTGAAATCCGACGAAACACGTCGCGTCATGAGGTAACAAGGAAATCCTCTCGATCCAAGTGATCCGTGACGTTAATCAGCGACTTTTCTAAATTCGTTTTCCGGAATTTAACACTAAGTTTTTTTTTTTTTTTTTTTAGAAGTGTTCGTTCCCACGGGAGAATAAGCGTATCTATGAGTAAGGCCCACTAGACAGAACGATGCTGAGGCACTTTCACGCGACCCGAGACCCGAGACCCAAAGGAAAGAAAAAAAAATGGAAGAGAAAGGGACCAAACGAAA